TAAAGACTTTTACTCAGAAAAACCAGGCAAATAAATTACAAACAGAAACAATAAAAACATTTAGAGCAGGTCATGGCAAGACCTTTTTTTTTAGCATTTACAGATGGATGGAAATGTAAAATGAGGCCAAAGGCAAAAATATATCACCAGTGGGGTGCTATGTGTATGTTCCTCGAGGAAGGTGCATGTTTCTTTAGGGTCCCCAGTAGCCTGTCTGCCTAAAATTCAAAGTATAGTATACATATCTACATATAGTTCCAGGTATGCAGGCCAAGATTTTTGATTTTCTTAGATTTTTCTTTAATGTTTTAGAAATTATACATTTTTACATAAATTCCTTTTATTTATCAGTTTAGTGCAAGAACACCTCAGGTATGAAAAAATAACTGTGAGTGGAGAGCAGGGAAACTTATTTGAGCAGAAAAGGCCTGCAGGTCGGAGTGGCATGGTCTGACAAAACCAGAAGGAATGAAAGAAGGTCAGAAACCATTTACAGTCATTGTGCTTCTTAATAAATAAATAAGTGAGACAACAAAGGTTTCATTTCATACTGCCTTACATACAGTGAAAAGTCATTATGGATACCACAGAGATTTCATTATTAATAACAATGACATGAATAATTGTCATCCAAAGTTAAACCCACATTCAATACAAACGTAAATCTGCTGCTATTTTATTACTGAAGAGAGATCCACTCCTGTGTGAAGTCTGCAGAATAAGCGCCGAATTAGAGCTAAATCAGACTGCCTTTCACAATTCACTGTGTTCTTGAAATCATGTATCAGCAGAAAGTGTCAAAAAGAGATGAGTTTCACATTAATCTTCACAGCAGGGTAGTATGGCAGGAATCATCACATTTATAATAATGACATCTTTTTGTCACGGTGCACTGGAGTAGGATGGATGAGGATGTTTTAATTTCTTACTTATTTTGTCATCCTATTGTGCGAATTTTGACTTTAAAAAAAGAAATTTTATATGCGTCATGTGTCATTTTCTGAGAGCTTTAATTTGACTTTTGACCATTTTCAGCGATAAGTTCAGCATTACTGCTGCCGTTTTACATCCGTTTCCATATAGACTAACTATGTTTCTTTGAAAACACTGTTATTTATATGCAGCACATGATAACTCTGAGTGGAATATGTTTAGTGTCAGCTCACCAACTGGTTTTTCTAATAGAGATGACAGTATATTTAACTGTTGACATTTTTCATGGTCACAGATGGAGGACGAGCTGTCTCCACATTATGAGGCTGGTCTAATGATGATGCTGAGTTATTATTAGTTTCTTTCCATCTGCTACTTCAATACAGCATGAATGGGTTACCAAATGGGCCTTCTGGGCACTGTTCCAACAGGCACAACCAGGTGCAGGTATTGGAGGATGAGGTAACTTTCAGGTGTCTGTACTCAGAGGTCTAACATCTTATAATTAAAGCTACTGGCCAACACCTTTATGTGACATTTAACATTCATAGAGCAGGAACATGTTGCAGCTATCACTAGAAAATAAGCACATAATAAACTTGTTAACGGCGGTTGAGCTGTAAAAGCAGCCTTACGGGGGTCTGTAGGCGAGCAAACCTGCCTGCTTATGGAAATTGATAGAATCACATTGGGTGGAAGCAAAGAATACTGTGTGAGCAGAACCAGCCGGTATCACAACTTCCACGCATACTACTTTCAGCTCCAGGCAAAGTTTGTAAACCACATAGTAAGTATAAAGTATTGCATAATGACGACTTTTTTATTTTCACACTGTGTAACACCATTATAATGCTAAGCTTCTGTCAGTTGATTTCGATGTGTTCACTATACAGTTTTTTTTTCTAAATTTCAATATGCAAATGAAATTGATTTTTGACTGCATGAAATTAAAAATGTTTGGATAAATCCCATCTAAGCTACCACAAGGTGCAGTTAACTCTAAATGTACTTGTCTCTCTATAAAACAGCTTCCAGACCTGTTAATTGGCTGTGCATTGAGAGATACAACACACATTTGAGATGTGATATATTCATATGGAGTTACCTTAAATATAGTGGGTAATATGTAACATTTAAGAAATCAGGTTAGATTACTGACAGTTATAAAGAACTTAAGGTTTTATAAGCTTTAGATTTATATAAGATTTATATTTGTTTTGCAATATAAAACAGATGGGAAAATGTTCTACTGTAAAGATGTTGTTTGCTCACAATGCAGTATGGGGTATTTAAAGAACATATAGTTCATGTGAAAATTAAAAATATTGGTCTCCAACACTGACAAAATTCTGCAGTGTTTCAAGTCAATTACAGTGAAGTGTGCAAAGAGAATTCTTAAATGCTCACTTTCTTTTAAGACTGACAGTCTCTTAAAAACAAGAAGCAGTTGTGAAAAGAACTATAGAGGTTCAGATTGGAAGGGCTTCTTGTTAACAATTTAAGGATCTTTCTGGTATCTTTAAAAACACTGCAGAAAGAAGATTGGCAGCAGGTGTGAAGGGGGAAGAGCAGACAATTTGTGCCTCACCAGGGGGTCGGCGTGGATTCAGAAACCATGCAGGCTTGAAACCGTAATCCTCCTTTTTCTCTTGTGTCGAGCATAATCAGGCCAATCTAAGGCCTATGTTTGGGGGCCGGTGTTGGTAAGGCAATTGGCTCTGAAGTGATTACTGCCCACTGAGCTTTCGACAAGCCCGTGATGTTGATTGCAGAGTTGCAGAGAAGAGGGGCATAAGGAGTTTACGGTTGCTGCGTGTGAGCTAATGGAACCAGTGACCTGCAGCATTTGAGATTTACCCTGCGTGATGGTGGCTGAATGATATGTATCAGTCAGATGTCAGTTGTGATTTCACTTAGGTGTGCTGTTTTTTTTTAACACTTGCAGCTCTCTTCTCAGCATGTAAACATGCACACTGTCACACACACACACCAGGCAGCATCAGATAAAAATGTTAATCATTGTATTTAACGCATTATTTTAATGTGTTTTGTCTGTTTATTAAAAAACACAGCGTGATTTTAAAATGCATGTTTATATTCAGGATGATCAGAGAATATACACTTCTACCTGTAAACCCACTGTTCAAACTAGTCCAGTGCATTATTGCACATTTTGGTATCGATCCAATACCGGGTAAATACATCGCCAGTATTGTCGATACTAATAATAATACCGATACTTTTATCTTATAAAGGCAACTTATGTAGGGGAGAGTGGTGTGTCATGACTTCCGAGATTAATCATCAATTTTCAAATTCTTAACAGTTTAATGATGACTAAATCACTGTTAACACAACAAAACAACCCTTTTCGTGTATTTTGAAACTGGGGTTTTTCGAGACCTTGAATGGAAATGTGGCTGTCTCTACAGGATCATTGGATCATTTCTGTTGTTTAAATTTATACAGGGTATAATTAAAATAACCTTACAAGGAACAAACGACTCATAAGAAAGAGGGACCGGAGAAACGGACCTGCACGAAGGCCAAGTATTGCATAAATAAGGATGATTTTGAACTGTGAATCCAGCAGAGCTTGTTTTGTGTAACCTAATAATATGTGTAGCTAGAAAGAAGCACAGGAGGTTTTCTTTAAAAACCATATACTGATGTTTTTGCACATTTCAGACCCCAGAACATATATAGATAGAATGACATACCAGATGTTTTGTATTGTTTTAAGTTTATTTCTGTACTTAGGTACCGGCTTTTGCTCGTTACCAGTTATTTCCTCTATAGAAATTATACACGAAGGTTCGTTATGTGCTTCTGAATCTCTCTGAACTGTTAAAAACAGCAAGATGGAGACAGATAACTCTCAGATCTCTTACTTACTCTTGGCACACTTTAACGCAACACAAGTTCCTTGTTCGGACCCCATGTGACTTCCCTAACCAATCAGAAGGCAGGAAATCCTAGCCTGAGGGAAATGAGGGAAAATCAACTTGGTAGATTCAATACACAATTATTAGTGTTTTGAAAGTGCACAAGTAAAAGTACAAACATTAAATAAGTAAACATATGAATGAAATGTAAATATAATTTGCTTTGTAAACATCATTAACACATTTGTTTATCAATTGAAATATACATTTATTTCTACACTTTACAGAAATATATGTTTTTAGTCATGTGATGCTTTTGAAAGCATTAAAACCATTAGCAACAGATTGCAACAAAAGACCTTTAAAAGCACACTTTTAAAAGAAAAATTATATAGTTTCAGGTCGATAGTAAATTCAAAGGATACTGTGAGGCACGGGATTACAGAGAGTCGGTGAGAGCATTTGACATCGATTAATGGAATTTAAATGGGGTGCGCTAGGATGGTCAGAAGGTATTATTGAACTGGTAAAGGAAGGTGCAAAAAGAAAATGCTGAACAAGTGTGAAACTTTCTTTGTGGCGACTTTCTGTGTGCCCTACAGTTTGCAGAAGTCTGGCACAGGAAGCAACAATGAATACGAAACGCACAGCTTAGCAAAATCGTGCAACAAAGTCTGGTTTCCTGGAGCGGAACGCCAAAGCAATTTATTCCAAGCTGTCCATAAAATTAGAACGTTATTTTGGACAATCATTTATATCCGCCATGAAAAACGATCAAACCCAATGGAAATACGGGTAATTACGCGAGTCTGAATCACGTTTCACAAGCTCAGCACATGCAGCGTCCTAAAAGGCATTGTGATTGCGACTGGGGAGCTGTAACTTTGGGTGATTTATTCCATTTAAACAGGCAATGTTAACCAAAAGGGCTGATTATATTAAACTAGGGAGACTCTTAGAAAGAAAGAAAAAACAACAACAACAAACAGTCTGTGTGGCAGAGGGAGAGAATGGGGGTAGTTGCATATATTGGAGTGCAAGAATTGCACGTCTTAGGTCTCTTCACACTCTCATACTTGTGTTACACCAGCTCCCACTGCGCGTAAAGCTGCGGTCCACCGGGACTTTGTTATCTTGTGTGTGTCCAGCTGTTCGTCAGCCTTTATCTCCGGTGTCACTGCCATGGTCGTGTACGTACACGACTGGAATTTCAGTACCACTGACAGCTCCCTCTCCAGCTCCAGCATCAATACAGACAAAGCGCTTTGGGGCTCCACGGTGCCCCACAGCCCCGGTGGGCTGAGCCGGACCGGCCATACGGTGGTGGCAGTATGCCTCGGCTTTATTTTAGTGGCAGGAATCCTCAGCAACTTTCTCATTCTGCTCATTTTCGCAAAGTTTCGGTCCCTCTGGACGCCCATCAATCTCATCCTGTTGAACATCAGCCTAAGTGACATTCTCGTGTGCGTTTTCGGGACACCGTTCAGTTTTGCTGCCAGCCTGCACGGGAGGTGGCTAATTGGAGAGTACGGCTGTAAGTGGTATGGATTTGCCAATTCCCTCTTTGGTGAGTAACTGCATGAGGAGTAGTATTTTTCCCTGTTTACCCTTTAAACTCAAATAATTATGACCGCGGTGTCTCGTTTCAGAAGTAGTGGGAGAGCAGAGTAAATGATGTCATTTATTCTAGAAACATAAAAATGTAATAAACTTAAATTAGAAGCACTTCAAACCTCTGAGTTTTAAGGCTTTCAAACGAAATTAATAATTACAGGGGGAAACAGATCTTTGTTAATTAGCTTGACTTTAATTAAGTTAAAGAACTCTATAGGAAAATACAGGAACACCTGTGTCTTAAGAAATACTTTCCCCCCTTTGCTGCTGGGGTTGCATTTACTTTCTCCTTTTTAAGTATAATATAAAATATATAATCTTTTATACAGCTGCTTTACATAAAGCCAATAACCTACTTTCCTCCACAATTATGGACAGTACCATCATTATAGACTCTACAACATGCAAAATGTGGCTTTATGAAGGGATCGTAAAAGCTTTAACCAGCCTGAGGTGCTGCAAGGGCAAGTGGCCTCTGATGATTAAATCTAAAGTACTCTTTTCATTTCTCCACTCCTGCTTCAACAGGGATTGTGTCCCTTGTGTCCTTGTCTCTTCTATCGTATGAGCGCTACACCACCGTTCTCCATTCCTCTCAGGTTGATGTCTCAGACTTCAGAAAGGCCTGGCTGTTTGTTGGAGGCTCTTGGTTCTACTCTCTCTTTTGGACATTGCCTCCCCTCCTCGGTTGGAGCAGCTATGGACCAGAGGGTCCTGGTACCACTTGCTCCGTCCAGTGGCACCTCCGCTCACCCTCCAGCATCTTGTATGTGTTGTGTCTCTTCATCTTCTGTCTGCTGCTGCCCCTTCTGCTCATGCTATATTCTTATGGAAGAATCCTGATGGCCATTAGGAGGGTGAGTTCAGAGATACATGAAGAGTTTCACCACATCTTTTGGGACGATCACACAAGACAAAGAGAAAACCATGCAACCACGTACAGTGCTACCATGTCATTTTTAGTTGTTTATTTATGTGTAAGTAAATCATAAGTCATCTGTATATTCATCAGAATTTTATGATTTATAATAGTAAGATAACGAATCCGAAAGCAGATGGCAGAACAGAGTTCAAATTACATTCATCGAAATTTACACGAGTGTGAAATCTGCTTTTGCTTATGTCTACCACATTTTGTCTATTTTTTCACAGTAACTACCCTGAAGGACTAAGATCTTGAATACTGGAATTCTTGTGACATAAGGTCGGATTTTAGAGGTTAACAAGAGGCTGAGTTCTATTAAAATTTGATCATGAGTTTTTGAGGTAATTCCAAGGAAAATCAAGTTGGATAAGCTAGCAATTCATCAATGAGGAGAAAGAAGGGACCATGTATAAGGGGCAAGTGTTGGGTTGAATCTGTCTTTGTCTTTACTGTCTTAAGGACAGTAAAACCAAGCCCAGTTTATAGCGACCCATGCCTTTAGGTCACCGTATCACCATCTTTGTTATGGATACATATAGATAAATAACTGGTAATTAAGAGTTTCTTGTTAGTGTTGGGTTCTTCCCACTCCTTGCTTGTACTGCTTCTATCACCAAATGCTCTAGAAGGTTTTTGTAGATCATGGTACCAACTTGTTGCTATTGGATACCTGTCATTATATAAGCACTTCCGTTTTTTAAGCTTGATGCACCCAAGAGGCTGAGCAGAAAGCGGCTTTGCAGACTTGATCACTGTAGCAGCGAACTGGGGCTCAGCTGCATCAACTCAGAGCCCAACCATCAGCTATTTTTAGAGAGTTGGCAATCTGTCTGAGGAACCGTCTCCTGGCTTCTCAAAACTTGAACCAACAGATCAGAAAGAGAAGCGCCATATGCATCAGCACTGTCGGTGTGGGTCAAACCTGTGTCTTTTCTATATTCTTAACTAACAGCATCCCATTTAAAGAGCGAGAAGTCATGTTGCATCAACATATTTTATGTTGTAGTTCAGTCCCAAAGGAATGGAATTCAATTCATTTTTTTATACAGAGACCAAGTTCATAACAATAGTTTCCTTATATATCAAGGTAAACAGAGTCATAGTGTCGGCATTAGAGGAAAAAACAACAACAATCTTCTGAGTATGAGCAAGCAAAAGTGACAAAGAAGAACTCAGGGTGAGATGATCATCTATTCCCACTGCATGAGAGGTAAGGGAAAGGAGAAGATAAAAGAGAAGCACATAGAGATACAAAGACAAATCAAACTGTGGCAGGCAGTAGGGAAAACCATTTCACCATCATAATCAGCAGGTAGCTCGATTTAGGAGAGAGAACGGAGAATAGAAGGTCAGTCATGCAGAAGTGACCACAGTTATTACATGAGGGAGGTTTGTTCAGACAGAGCAGTGAGGGCCATGATCTAATCCTATATAGCAAGAGGTGTAATTGAGTGTATGAGAGATAAGCAGTAATTTGACAGATGGGGTAGATTTTCTTCTCTGTGAGGCCTCTTTCACAAGCCAGACATGCTCATTTATTCATAAATCACCATGACAAGCATCACGGTGGTAATTACATACGGAGGTGGGCACATGAAATCAATACTGACCGGTGAGATGCTGCTGTAACCACTTGCTTTATGATTTATCTGAAAAACAAAACAAAACAAAAACAAATGTGATGAAACGTATCTGGGCATGTAATGTGGTCATACTGCTTCTGACCAAGATCTAAAAACATGGCATCTGTTTTTAGCCCCTTCTGATTATCACACATCGGACATATTCTGCTGATCCAGCAGTCATTCATAACAGGTTGTCATTATACCTAGAATCTGATTGATTTAGGATTTTTAAGACTAATACCTATACTGATATTTGGACATGTAACAATTTGGTATTCCAAAATTTCAGTCTTTTTTTTCTCTTTCAGACATACACAACACAAACAGGTTCCTCTAACATTTGCTGTATGTATTTATTTGCTCATTTATGCTTTGTCCACTATAGTGTTTGTGGCATTTTACACACACGTGCCAACAAGGAAGTTACAGAGCGCCCTGAGGTGGACAAACCATGCAACGTTAACACGCATAATGTGGTCAAAGCATCTCATAAAAAATATATTAAAAAGTTAAAAAATCATAGAAATTATAAATTTATATATTTATGATATCTCCCAAAACTATCTGTTGGGCTTCAACTATAGCTAAGGGTTAAATTGATACTATTTTTGAACAAATCAAACACATATAATTAATATTATATTATGATATTATGGGGATCATGGGATCCTCACTGATCCTCTTGAAGTCTGACCAATATACTGGAAACAAAGTATCCTTGATATCTTTTCATATGCATACTATTTTCTGAGTGTATTCATTTTGTTTTTATGAAATATCCTTTAAAATTGATATTTGAATTTTTGTGAGCAATACAACCATCACTTACAGCTCACTAACTTGCTGTGCGCTTTAAACTTCACTTCGCTGCTTTTAAGAAGTGGAGCTGGTTCAAGTAACGGTTCTTGTTGACTTGTTATTAATGTTTATATTATACCGTATATTTGGATTTTAAAAAAACACTTTCAGTGAAGATTTATTCTTCACTTGAGTAGGAAATCACCTGTGTACTGTCAACTCTTCATAATACCACATGAGGGCACCAAAGACACAGATTTTTAAATGCTACATACTGCAGCGCAAAGTGTGGATTTTAGTAATCAGTTGATAGATAGCTTATGTAAGCAAATTATTCACACAAAATAAAATGTGTTGGGACTGAAATAAAAGAGCATATGCAAGAGGCACGAAAAGCCTATTAGTGGACCTGAAAAAGCCTAAGATTCTTAGAGACACAAGCAAAACACATGAATTTTCTGGTGTCTTTACATCTATACCTCTTATTCTCCTTCTCTCTCACATCTCCAGGTGGGAAAGATCAATCTTCTGGCAGCTCAGCGCAGAGAACGCCACATTTCGCTGATGGTTTTCTCTATGGTGTCCTGCTACATGCTGTGCTGGATGCCCTATGGCATCGTGGCACTGATGGCCACCTTTGGTGGGTCGGGGCAGGTGACTCCCATCACTAGTGTGATTCCTTCCATCCTGGCCAAGTTCAGCACTGTTGTCAACCCTGTTATCTATGTTTTCTTCAACAAACAGGTGAGAGTGAGGACATAACTGATAGACTGATAGGACTGCTGAGAAATGTCTGTATTTCAAATATCACTGCACACTATATACTAAAAGTATCTTGTCTAGACCAGTTTGTTATAAAAATGGAGTGGCATTGTGTCACTGACAGAGTTGAACACAATAGTTTTAACTGCAGCTCAGTTTCTGCAGCACCCAAGATGATATATGTTTTCAGTGTTTCTAATGAGACTCCTGAAGAGAATCTTTTTAAGATATTAAATTCAGAACCATTAATTGAAAAGCATTTTCGTTACTACTTTTTTATTTCAATGCCATGATTCTGATTATCCCATAATAGATAACATAGATAATACAGGGGTGTCATTTATTGTAAAGTAGGTCGATCCTTTGTCAAACTGATTATATGACGATGTTGCACGAACTTACACAATACTTCATTTTAGGGTCTAGTTTTCAAGGGTTAAATGTAAACCGTGGTTAAATGTATCCTAAATATAATGAACTGAACTTTCCAGGGAGATTTACCAGTGTTAAACTGAGCGTTCGACATGTCCTTTGATCTGCAAATCACTACTTATTGCGACTGACCATTCTATTCCATTCTCCACTATACTTTTGCACAGTTTTATAGATGTGTTTTGGCCTTCATGAAGTGCAAAGGAGAACCTGAGATTGTACAAGGAGAAGAGCACCGAACTCCGAGGACACAGTTGTCAGAATATTTCCATGTCCATAGGAAAGCTTCCCTCAGCTCCCCACAAGTCCAGATCCCCAGCGGCCCCAGAAACACTGTGCTCTGCAGCCGACATGTAGTTTATGTTCACTACACTCCATAAAAAAGTTGTTTTTTTCAAATGACTGACTGAGAGTATTAAAATACCTTGTTGATATTAGAAGTCAGAGGAGAATGGTCAGACTGCTTTAAGGTGATAGGAAGGTACCAGTAACCATCATTACAACAAAAGAAAGTAGAAGAGCATCTGTAAATGCACAGCACATTGGACCTTACAGCAGATTGACTTCAGCAGTAGAAGATCACACAAGGTGCCACTGCTGTCATCTAAGAAGAGGAAACTAAGGCTACAGAACTGTACAACAGAAGATTGGAAAAATCTTGTCATCTGGTCTGATGAGTCTCGATTTCTGCTGCGACATTCAGTTGACGGAGTCATAATTTAGCAAAAACAGCAAACACATGGATCAATCCTGTGCTGGTGAAATAGTGATGTGGGAGATATTTTCTTGGCGTAATTCGGGATCAGCTGAGCAGGCTGCGCCTCAAATAACTGAAGCACTTCGACAGTAAAAGGAGGTCTAACCTGGTCCTAGCAGTGTATATGAGTGCATGAGTGAATGAATGTCTTTAAAATTTTACACAAAATAAAATCATATTCCAATTTTCTTCAGTTTTTCCTCCGGACCGTTGACAGACAAAAAACATGTGAAGACTCTGTACTGACATCATTTTAAAGTTAAAAATATTTTTTGAACCACTAGAGGAGGCAGTGGGCCGTTGTAAAGGATTTCTAAAACATTGAACACATTTCTTGTTTAGACAGCTGCATAAAAATAATCGTAACACTTTGTAGATGGTATATTACTGTATATTATTATTATTATTATTTTAAGTTTTTTTTTTAAATTGCAGTCTTTTTATGAAATAAAGATCCAGCTTTTATCAAGAAACACTTGTACTGCGCACACTGGCAAATTTAACCTCCCCCTGATATTATTCACATTTACATGAGTCCAAAATGGAAAATAATTAGTGTGTATAAAACTGTGATAAAAGTCCCTGGGTAACTTTAACTTATATTAGGCTTTTAATCACGATCATTTATTGTAGTTGGTGTAAAAACTCTTTATTGTATATTTCCAGCCACTTGTTTTGGAGATGAAACATTCACTGTCTAATAGCGACTTACACAGGGACACGCTGCACTGTGCTGTATGCAGAACTCTGTAAGCAACTGTATGAACCCCACATTAAACAGTTTTCACTTTAGCTTAACCAACATGTGTGGGCTAAAAAAAAAAAAAAAAAAAAAAAGAGTCAATGGTTGGTCTCATTCCAGACAAATCCGCTACCACAACTAAGCACATTTCACTTATCCTGCGGTCGTTAACAGTGTTGTATATCTAAATGGACACGCCATGGTGTGAACTGTAGCCAGTAAACTCTCAACAGATTAGACTAAGTTTGAGTTTGGTCTGTGCATTCAGTTCGTCAACATGAATTAAAGTTAGGTTGAAGTTAAAAATTAACCAAAATTAACCACGATGATCCTGTGGTTACACAGCTAACTTTAATCTTTACTCCGGTGAACAATAGCACTAGTCTTTTGAAGGAATAGCTCAGTATACATAATGCCTTAGATATAGTGTTACGTTTGTCTGCTTCTGACATTTAGGCTGACCAGATAATTTCCAGATATAGTCTGCGAGAAAGATGTGAAAATAAATGGTGTGAAAATACTACTGAACTCTTAATATAGATCTTTGTGTCTCTGTGTGACTATGTGTGTGTGCCATGTGATATACAAGTACTTTAAAATACCTTTTAATGTTATAACAGCTTATATACAAAATTGAAACAGTTTATGGGGATTTGGTTTTGTGCGCCAAAAAAGTGAAAGTAGTGCCAGCTAAGTGCACAGGTTCACATAACAATCACATTACAATGTGCAGCATTATAGACATGCTATAGCTGACACAAAGGAAAATGCAGTGAGGGTTTTTTTTTTTTTAACCAACATGCACACCACATGTATTCACCAAGTGACATTGCAAAGACATCTGCATGTCAAAGTACTGAGACCTTCCAGGAAGTAGTCAGACATAAACTCAGATGCTTGAGAGAGGAGCAGTTCAAAAGCGCATGGGATGTCACGGACGTCAGGCCTCTGCAGCTGTCACCGCTCCGCTCTATCATGATCAACACTTACCAGACCAGCCTGGCTCCACCACCGGTGCCTCCACGCAGCAGGTCCCAGCCGGTCCTCATCCCAGCTTCACTTCCATCGCAGGGCCACAACAAGGTTCTCGTCCGGTTCTTGGTTGGCGTAGTGGCGCTGCATTTATTGCTTTCACTTGCAGGATTCTTCTACCTGTACTACCATGAACATATGGTAAATCATTTTTTTTCTCATTCACTTTGGACCCATTGTATAAAACTGACAGCTTAAACAAAACCAAAATTAACAGTTAAACTCAAAATTCTGTTTTCTTCTTATTACATTTTAACATGACTATATACTAAAATAATTCAGCTTTATTTTAAAACAGGGAAGTTAAGTATGCAGAATTGGTTAGATCTTTTGGTTCACACATTTTTTATGCTGTGTGTAGTTTTACCTGGCTAATTTGACTGCATTTAAAAGATAGGAAATGCTGGCGAGGTGTGCTTATGAAAACCTCCCTTCAGTAAGTTCTTTTACCCATTTCTGATGTTCTACTTTTTTCTTCCCTACAGGAAAAACATTTCTCAGCAGAAGATAGAGGTATATTCAGTTCAATCAATAAATTTTATATATTAAATAGAAAATAAAAAGATGTAATGGCATTAATTTCTTTAAAAATTTGTTCTCTCTTTTTCTAAGATGGATTGCCCTCATCTCAAAAGCAGGAAATGGACAAACAGGACACCTTCTATAAAGCCTTAGCACGCATGGCAGTTAAGCGAGCTGAAGGAAAGAAAACACGTAAGAATATTACCCATTTTTTTCTTTCAAATAAAAAAATGCAGTGACAAGTTATCAAAAATCTATTAATGAGTGTTTAATTAAACTTCTTTATCTCTCCAGCGGGTTGTCTTCAGTGGGACACGATGCACTCTGTTCTTAGAGGCATCAACTATTATGAGCAGATTTGGCTGACTATTCCAGAGACTGGTTTTTACTACGTCTACTCCAGAGTGACCTTCTCCAAGGGCGATTCTACGATCCCACTAGCCAGCAAGGTCAAGCTGAGGAAGAACGAGGCAGATGAAAGTGAGGATGTAATGAAGGCCTACTGCTACCTGGAGAGCACAAAGAATCCTCACATGTGCACAGCCGCTCAGGGAGATCTGATCCTACTGGAGAAAGGAAACCAACTGAGTCTCTGGGTACAAGACCTCTCACTGGTGGACTATGAAGAAGGCGCAACAAGCTTTGGGATATACAAACTATAAGACTCATACATGGACACATGAATAGAAAAAAGCTGAAGAATGGGATCTCGTGGATTTATCTACAAAAACACTTTTGAATTGGCTGGCTCAAACATCTTCGTGGATTAGTTTGGATTTGAGAGACATAATTTATTACACCAGATATTTTTTTTTAGTTATTTTTGTTTTTGTATTGATTAGTAAAATGTTGTATTTATTGATGTAAATAGATTGTGAAATGAAACTAATATTTAATCTGAAACATTTATACTCTTCTCAGTTTTTCTTGCATCAACCTCACATCAGGAACGAGTTACATTTAAAGGACACGCACACATTACACTGAAACATCCAGACTAATGAACCACAGGCTTAGTGGTTTAAAGATGAAGGTGCCGAGGTTCTACGTGTATGAGTTACATTATCCCACCATGAGGTATATTTTCAAAACATTTTAAGTGGTCATAAGGAAACACCTTCGGGAATAAGTCCTAAAAACTGAATTTCCTTAATGTAATGATGGTTACTTTAACAGATGTAAAAACACCAAGATTCATCACCAGTAAAACCCCTGATGCTTATCATGTTCTAGGTTAGTGTGCACCACTATGGTTTTCAATTTCTAGGACACAAACAAACCACAAAGAGAAGCTGCAGTTTCTCACATCGCCAAATGGGACCACTTAAGGTACAGGCTACCCACCAATTTCAGTGGTAAGAGAGGAAGCAAAGGACCGGTGGTTTAAGCAGAATTTCCAGTCTGCTGCATATTTATCATTTAAATTACCCCCCATGCAGCCAGTAGTTATTTTGATAAATGGGGTATGAACCTTCAGACTCTCAAAACATGCGGTGTACAATTCAAAAATCCAAAGTTCCCCACTTCAGTTTGAAATACAGTAATTCTTAAGGAAAACCATTAAATATAAAATACAGTTCAGACCATCCAAAGACCATTTAGCTTTTAGAGTTCAAACCTGAAGACTATTGCTCTCCAGTTCCGGGTGATTTTACTCTAACCTGTCTGGTGACTACGTTTTTTTTTTTGTTTGTTTGGTTTTTTCAACTGTAACCTGTCTAGTGTAAGTTCTTTTTTTAATACTGTAAATGATGAGTAATATAAAATTCTACCAAACACCCTCAACACCTTAGACATAACAAAACCTACCACATTGTCACTGTCACAGTGGAGTACAAGAGCATGGAAAGTGTGAATCTCTATGGAGGTGTACAAAGTTGCAGAGGAGGTACATTCTTAGAGAATGTCATCTATTCTAGTCACTCATTCCATCCTGTTTCTCACTACCGCATCTGAGCAACATGCACACTCCTGAACCACACACATGATGAACACAGCATGGAAAAGCCTCTCTCTGTGGATTTCCAGTGTGAATGAAGGAACGCTGTTCGTGCCGTTAGTAGAAATCTTAAGGAGTTTTCCGTTACTCACTTGGATAAATCAATACCAAATGCTGAGCTCCACGTATTATATTAAAGTTTTAATAAAAGAATGATCATACCAAACATAAAGTACAGGGTATCTAGAAAAAAAAAAGCATTACAATACTTGCAACAACAATAATTGCATAGAACAGTCTTTCAAAAACAAAAACACACAGTGGTCTGGAGAAAAGATTTCAGATAAACGGGTTAAAAATTGGATTTCAACCCCTTTCCACCAGTAAG